CCGGAGGTAAAACCACATCTTAAGAGTCCATTCACATTACCCCCAGGTTGAGTTTCAACAGGATGACCGACCCATCCTGCAATGAGTGTTTATCAAATGTTTTTTTTTTTTTTTTTTTTTTTTTTTTTAATTCAAAGGATTCTATATTTTATAATTTCGATGATAATTTTTGAAAGTAAATTCCTTCATTAGTGTTTTTCATAAATTTCATAACAGTTGCATATGCCATAACAGAGTCTTTTAAAGCATGTATCAAAGAATGTTCACTTTCTTCAATATCATCAATTCGACAATACATTTTTATGGAACGCCATCGCTGCCTTATGTTAGGTGATTATATTATATGCTGTGGGTCTTTTATTATATGCTGTGGTTCTATAATTATATGCTGTGGTTTCATAATTATATGCTGTGGTTCTATAATTATATGCTGTGGGTTTGTAATTATATGCTGTGGTTCCCTTATTATATGCTGTGGTTTTATAATTATACGCTGTGGTTCTATAATTATATGCTGTGGTTCTATAATTATATGCTGTGGATCTATAATTATATACTGTGCTTTTATAATTATATGCTGTGGCTCTATAATTATATGCTGTGGGTTTATAATTATATGCTGTGGTTCTATAATTATATGCTGTGGGTTTATAATTATATGCTGTGGTTCTTTAATTATATGCTGTGGGTTTATAATTATATGCTGTGGTTTCATTATTATATGCTGTGGGTTCATAATTATATGCTGTGGATTCATAATTGTATGCTGGGGGTTCTTTATTATATGCTGTGGTTTCATTATTATATGCTGTGGGTTCATTATTATATGCTGTGGTTCTATAATTATATGCTGTGGGTTTATAATTATATGCTGTGGGTTCATTATTATATGCTGGTATACTTAAATTTTACTCAGGGGCTCTTATTATAAATGTCCCTAAACAAAATGGCGACAGATTCCACAGGGTTGATAGGAAAGGTATTGGAGGATTTAAACTTACATCTGTTTCACGACAGGTTCAGGGCAGAAAAAATAACTACAGATATTGTATGTAAATTATCTGCACACGAATTCAAAACTTTGGGGATCTCAAATACAAGGGATATGATGAGATTAAGAAACGAGTATGTGAAATATGGAACTGAAAAGCCAAAAAAGGTATGGCCTCAGTGCGGTCCTCCGATGTATGATATTCCAAAAACAGTATTAGAAATGTTCCTTGAAAATGGATGTACAATATCTTACATTTCAAACCTTCTCTCAGTGTCAAAAAGAACGATTTACAGAAGAATGGCACAGTATGGACTTAGTAAAATGAATTTTTCAGAAATATCCGACAATGACCTCGATTTAAAACTTGGGGAAATTTTAAAAGATTTCCCCCTCTGTGGAGAAAATCTCTTAAGACAGATGATAACTTTAAAAGGGATAAGGGTTCCTAGGTGGAGACTAAGAGAAAGCATACATCGAATGGATGAACGTGGTGTTTGTGAGAGACAAGCTGGCAGACTGCACAGACTTGTTTATAATGTAACGGTCCCAAACCACTTATGGCACATAGACACTAATCATAAACTTGTGCGTTGGCGATTCCTAATTGTTGGCGGAATAGATGGTTTTAGCAGACTGGTGATGTTCTTAAGATGCACAGACAATAACACAGCTGAAACAGTACTGCAGTGTTTTTTGTCAGGCGTGGAACAATATGGTTTACCAAATCGGGTTAGATCAGATAAAGGTATGGAAAATATTTCTGTGGCTGACTACATGTTGTCCAAAAAAGGTCATGGGAGTATGCTTACTGGAAAAGCACACACAATCAGCGCATTGAGAGACTTTGGAGAGACGTGTACGACGGGGTTCTTGTATAATTTTATAACTTATTTTATCATATGGAGGACCTTGGTATTCTGGACTCCCTCAACCCACTTCATTTAGCTGTTCTCCATTATTTATTCTGTTCAGAAATCAACAGAAAGCTTGCATTTTGGAGTGATGCATGGGCTAGGCATAGATTGCGCACAGTAAAGTCATCCCAATTAATTTTATGGACTTCTGGGCAGTTACAAAACCCAGTTGGTCTGGATGAACATGAAAATATGCAGAACTATGGAGTTGAGGGATTTGTAGATGAATTCATTGTTGAGGAAGGCAGGCCAATATTTGATTCCCTTTCCACAATGATCAGTCAAGAATGCCAAAATGCTTTAGAACAAAAATTTCAAAGGGATTGTCAAAGTAATGGAATCGCTGATTTTCAAAGATGTTTGGATATTGTTGAAAGATACACTTAGAAACTGTTACAGCTCAGATATATACATGTACCATTACAAGATATTAAACATACCTACCAGTGTTTCACATCATACAAACATATATTGTTTTAATCATTTTACCTGTCTTTTGCGTTTGGGCAAAATTGCTAGAAAAAAATATATTGTGTGGAACTAAGCTTCATATTTTGTAGTGTGTTACCTATACATGTACACAATGTTGAAAACACTATCTTTTATTTGTTTGAGGAAGTAGAGATATGCATTCAGCCTCACCCAACGCCCAGAAATCCAACACAGATTCAATTCTCGGTCAAGGTCACACGACCATTGTCCTTGGTGTCAGTTGAAAGTGCTTAATTAGTGGAGTACCGAGTATGCATACCAAATATGAAGTCTTTATCTCTCACGGTTCAAAAGTTAATGCGAAAATTTAAAAAAAGAGCTATTTTTTACCATATAGGTCACAGTCAAGGTCACAAGGTCATTGACCTTGGTGTCAGTTGGAAGTACTTAATTAGTGGAGTAAGCATACCAAATATTAGCCTGGTCCCCTGTCTCTCCTTGCCTAGTGACGCGGAGTAAACGAAGCAAAACAGGGATAGGGAACAAGGCTAACCAAATATGAAGTCTCTATCTCTCACAGTTCAAAAGTTATGGTGAAAGTTTGAAAAAGCTGTTTTTGCATTAAGGTAACAGTCAAGGTCACAAGGTCATTGACCTTGAAGTCAGTTGAAAGTGCTTAACTGGCCGAGTATGCATACCACATATGAAGTCTTGATCTCTCACAGTTTAAAAGTTATGGCAAAGGTTAAAGATGACAACAGACAGACAAACAGCTAAACAGACAGATATGACAAATCAATATGCCCCCCGAAAATAAATTCGAATGCATAAAAAGGTGTTTTATTGGAATAAAACATAGGTAACCCCTTCATCTTAAAAATGAATTACATGTAATGGTGTTCATGTTACGGAATCAAAATAAAAAAAAAAAAACAGAAATTTTTTAATTGAATTGAAAAGATCAAACAATTAGAACACAAACACATTTTCTGCTTTGTCTGGAAGCATACATAAATTTTAAAAAATTGTTACATGTATTGGAATAAAAATATAGGTCATCCATTCAATTTAAAAATGAAATAAAAGAAAAGGTGAGCAAGCTCACATACCCCACACTCCCCCAAATGTGATGTACTAAAACACTATGCAAAACTAGAACTGTCCAAAATGGACATATACTCCTGCTAGGCTCTTTTGAATAAATGAAAGTAAGGCGTATCCTAATTAACATTAATACTAATTATATGGACCAAACAGAACAATGAACTTTTTCTTTCAGTGACCCTGACATTGTACAAATGACCTTGGGTAAAGGTCATGACAAACCCTTAGGTCATAAGGAATCTTTGTGTGAAGTAGAAGATTCTATGTTCCTCCATAAGAAATACATGAATTGGACACATTTGCACAGACAGACGGACAAGCTAATCCAAAACCCTAAATACTTGGGGGAGTTAACAATATATTTTAACATAACAGCAAGATATATGCATTAATTCTTCCCTAGAATGCCTTAAAGAAATCCCATAATTAATAAATCATCAACCATGTTTTACAAAAATAAAAAATTATGAAGCAAAAGATTGAAGGGATTCAACATTCTCAAAAAATCAAAATTCATGTACTATATTAATACTTGATTCAAAGGTTGTACTGTTCTGGATCAATAAATCACAAAGAATTACATCAAACATGATTAATCATTCCATTCATGTCCACTTCTGATCACCTTACCCTAATTTTTATTATTAATATGTAATATGATATTTGTAATATGATACACTGAAATTCATAAGGCATAAAAATATAATGAGGAATACCCTTCACAACACTTCTCCAAATAAGACCATAGCAAAAGTTGTCCTCATAGGATGACATTCAGGCCTAAAAATCGAAGGCGTTTCTTCCTATATCAATGTTACCAGTAATGAACAAAATCATCCTGGAATATATTCTTATATATTTGTCTACAATGTAATTAGGGCACACACACAAATAAGCCAGGTAAATTGTCCCAATGCCATTCAAATTACGTGCAAAAAAAGGAGGTGTGAAGGCCTTTAGCAACAACACTCACTAATCATTGATGAAATACCGATTGCTTTTTTCCTGGGTAAATTTTGAACAAATTGGAACAGATTGAAGACGTTTTGGAAAAGAAGCTGAAAATGTTAAAAGATAGCAACACTGACAGAGCCTTTTTCTCGGATGAGCTAAAAAATACAGCCTAATAAGAAATTATTAGGGCTGGGTATTGGCCCGAGATTTCGTATTGGGATATATTGCGATATTTTAAAATGTATTGCGATATGTATTGCAATATTTTCAAGGTAATAAAAATGGGATTTTCGTACTATATTTACTTTAATTTACATGCAGAATGTACATAACTATGATAAGTAACCAATAAGGAAAAAAAAATCTTGTTGATTTCAGTTAAGTTATGCTCTGAAATGTTCCCATAAAACAATTTCTGACTTACTGTTTGGCTTAATAACAAACAATTTTCATGAGTCCATTCTTATTTTTAATGACAAAATTCCTTAATCTAAGCATATTGCCAATATATCGATATTACAAAAGCGTATTGCGATACGATATTTTTTGTCATTGTATTGCAATATATTGAAATATCGATATTATTGCCCAGCCCTAGAAATTATGAAGACAATAAAAACATTCATCAGTGTTAAGTAGGTAGCTGATATAAAGTTATTCAAAATAGACCATAAAAGGTATTCAAAAACGCATAATCGTACAATGCAAAAAGTTCTTCTTCAGATGGTAATGCAATTTTATAAGATGGTCTTGGTAACTTCATGTTGTTGATACAAGTGTTAGCAGTTGGGATAAACCCTGATCTTGATTTCGCTTCAAAAAAATGGATTGAAGGCTGCAATGTAAATCCAAGAATGGGTTCCTCGGGAGTACCTGTAGCAAACTGTAGGATGTGGTGCAAGGATACAGATCCTCTCCTCCCACCTGAAAGAAATTCAATGGATGAGATGATTTGGTTATAAATGCAGGGTGAAAAGGAAGAAATGACAGATCATGTAAAATACTGGCATTTTAATAGACAAACAAGCAGCCCACAGGTTTTAACAGTCACCTGAGTATTATAAGCCATACAGGGACCTGTCAAGAGGTCTCATATTTACATTTAAACTGCATTATGGAGTCTACAGGTCAGGAAATCTTAAATGTTGGTCACATGTTTTGATTCCCCTCCCCCGATTTTACAATAGAGACTGAAATCCATAATTTCTGTACACAGCATCCTCTTTCTAAATGCACGTTGTTATTCTCATTCATTAACATTACAGAAAGAAAGATAAAATTTTGAATTTTGGACCCCCTCCCCAGGAAGAAATGACAGATCATGTAAAATACTGGCATTTTAATAGACAAACAAGAAGCCCACAGGTTTTAACAGTCACCTGAGTATTATAAGCCATACAGGGACCTGTCAAGAGGTCTCATATTTACATTTAAACTGCATTATGGAGTCTACAGGTCAGGAAATCTTAAATGTTGGTCATATGTTTTGATTCCCCTCCCCCAATTTTACAATAGAGACTGAAATCCATAATTTCTGTACACAGCATCCTCTTTCTAAATGCACGTTGTTATTCTCATTCATTAACCATGTGTTAACATTACAGAAAGAAAGATAAAATTTTGAATTTTGGACCCCCTCCCCACCAGAACTCCTTTCCCAGGCCAATTGAATAAAAAATTTTGGTTGACTACTGTATGCAGTTATTTTTGCCCTGTTTAATTTTCGCCCTTCACACTTGCAATCAATTTTGCCCTGTTTTAAATTCGCTCATTCATAGTTTTATTGCAGAAATTATATGTATTATTTCATTTTGCCCCATTTTAAATTCGCCCAAATGAGGATAGGGCAAAAGGGACGAAAATAAAATGGGAGCGAAAATTTCCCTGTGTACAGTACATTGTACCATCTCTTGGTTTCACTCTTTATTCATTGTCAGCAAACTGATAGAACAAAATTCATCTCTTATTCATTTTGTTTCAATCCACTACCAAAAGCCTGAACTCTTGCCCCAAGGGCTGTGCTATTTATGATTTTGGTAGATAGTTTTACACTCTTTTTAATTGTGTATTCAGCTTTCATTCAAATAGCTAAATGCAGCTTCTTATAAAATCCAGGGAGGGGGAGTCCAAGAGAGAAGCATGCTGGGAAGGCATGCTATTTATAGGAAGTCTACATAAAAATTGCATCTTCTTTGTTTTTAAGTGCATGAAGAAGAGTCTTATCTTAATATTTAACGAAAAGAGAAAAAAATAAGTTTTTGGGCTACTTTTAATCGGCGGGGGGGGGTAACTCCCAAAACACATCTGGTTTTCACATGTGCAGAATAGCATGCTTTAGAAGCAGGTACTGTACCTCTTTCAAAAGGTGGAAAATGTACTCTAAAAAACATTCATAGAAAACCTAAGGATTTATTCTGTGAAATGTACATAACTTATCATGTCAGAATTTTGCACTGCATGTTTGTTGATCGAGGAATTGCAAGCTAAAAATGCATAGGTTTCCTGCAAATGGATGCATAAACTTCCCTGAATATCCCTTATGTTTCAAGTGTCAAACACCCCATACATGTATTAGTAATTGATCTATGTATTATACATGTACCTCAATATTCATTAAATTCAAAATTTTAGCTGTCCATTAATGTATAAAAGTCTATATAACAACAAAGATGACTGTCAAAAACTTGCTGAAAAACTTGCCCTAAAATATGGAAAATATGCCTCTGAAATTCTGGAAGGTAACGAAGCAATGCATGATGATGAAAGCGCTGAACAAAATGGTGAAAATGAACCCATCGATACAATTGTACTCGGTGCATCAAATTGCAGCAGGCTCCCAAAATTGACGCCGAACATTTTAAACGTGTCTGTGTCAGGAGCAGCATATGAAAACATGTCAGAGATGTTAAATCATGCGAATAAGAAACTTGGTGATTCTGTACCCGAAAATATCATAGTAAATCTGGGCACAAATGATATATCAAGGCATCGGGACAACCCTAGTGAAATAAATGTAAAAATGCTTATGGGTCTTAATAAAGTAAAAGAAACCTATCCATCAGCAACTATAAGTGTCAGCACGATTATTCCTAGGAAAGGTAAGGGTGCCGTAATAAAAAAATTAAACGAAACAACAAACACAGTGAACATCTTCCTGAAAAAACTTTGCGAAAAGGATCACAGAACTCTGATAATTGACACATACAGTCTTTTCGTAAACGATCAAGGTCACGCAATCAAATCACTGTACGACCCTACCGATCCAAGTGGCGTGCACGTAAGCAGTGAAGGTGCTGGGAAAATTGCGATGGCTCTTCTCGAGCAAAAAGAAACTGAATGGCAGTGAACCTCAGACCCCAAGCATGTCAAAACGAAAATTAAGTTCTCATACACCGTCCTCCGCGGAGAAACAAGGCAAATGTCCCAAAGTTTAGTGAATGTAGCGAATGTACGTGAACCTTACACAATTTAACATTGTATGATAATGTACATATGTTTTGGTATATGTTTTTTTACTGTCATGTTGCGTGCTATGTATACTAGCAAACAATTTGCATTTAAGCATGTGTACATACGAATAAATACAAACATGTACATATTTAGTATGTTCATTTTTTCAAATCAAATATTGATAAGCGAAAAAAAAAGTATTACCCCTAAAAATTGTACATATTTAGCATGTTCATTTTTTTAAATCAAATATTGATAAGCGGAAAAAAAATATTTTTTTAATTGTTAATGTCTTTGCATATATCATCTATTAACGTTAACGGATTAAGGGATAAAAGAAAGCGAATGTGTATATTTTCATGGTTGAGCAAGCGTACCTGTAAATATGATGTTGTTTGTTTACAAGAGACTCACGGAACTGATCTAGATACCGAGAGATGGAAACATGAATGGAAAGAATTTAACGGTACTAATTCTATATGGAATAACTGGTCTAGTGAATCACGTGGTGTTGGGATATTATTTATGAAAAGAAATGAATTAAAAGTTAGCGATGTGAAATTCGACAAAGATGGACGGGATATAGACATATGCCTTATGATAAACACAATAAAAATTGGACTTAAAAATATTTATGCACCAAACATTGTGAATGAAAGAAAATCTTTTTTTAAACATCTGACCTTAAATAATTTAGATTATAAAATAATATGTGGTGACTTTAACTGTGCTATAGATAAAAATATGGATAGGCATCCAATTCCAGTGAAAAATGATCCTAGTAAAGATGACCTCGATAAATTTCTTAGAGATAACGAACTAGAAGATATTTGGCGAGAAAGACACTTAGAGAGAAGATGCTATACGTTCCATAGATGTAATTCTAAGTCTAGAATCGATTATTTTCTTATTAGTGAAAATTTATCACATAAAATCAAAAATACAAGAATCACACATTTTCCACTAAGCGATCATGATCTCATTTCGATCAAGTTACATGTAGAAGAAGTCGAACGAGGCCCAGGGATATGGGCAATGAATGTAAAAACTATTTTAAGAGAAGATTTCAAGAAAACATTCACTGAATTTTGGAATATTCACAAATTAAGTCTAGAAAAATATGATAATGTTCATGAATGGTGGGATTGACAAAAAGTAAAATAAAATCAATCTGTATAGAGTTATCCAAAACCTATAATACTAGCAAGAAAACATGTGAAAAATTAGAAAAAGAAATTGAAAGCATAAAAAACAACCCTAATACGGATAAAGAATATTTGAATGCGATTGAGCAAAAATTAAAGGATATCTTGAAAGAAAAAACAGAAGCCGCAATTTTGAGATCTAAATGCAAGTGGTTTTCTGAAGGAGAAGTGCCCTCCTCGTATTTCTTTCAATTAGAGAAAAAAAATGGTGAAAACAAACTATGGGTAAGAATAAAATGTGATGACGGGACATATAAAACAGATATTGATTCTATAATTGAGGAACAAATAAAATTTTACAAAGGATTATTAAACACCGAAGGGTGCGACCCAGAAAGCGGAGATAAATTGTTAAAAGATGTTTATAGTAAACTTAACACTGAAGAAAAAGAAATGCTTGATCGCGATATAAATGAAAAAGAAATATTCATAACGCAATAATGACATAAAGAATTAATAAATCACCAGGGGAAGATGGTATTACTTCAAATTTTTACCAAATTTATTGGGATGTTATTAAAGACGAATTTACCAAAGTAATTAAACATATCTTTAACCACAATTTACTTTGCGACTCCCAAACGAAAGGTATTTTATCCTTAATTCACAAAGGGGGAGAACGCGAAAATATAAAGAATTGGAGACCTCTGACAATGTTAAATACAGACTATAAAATAATTGCAAAAATACTTGCTGAAAGATTAAAATCTGTCCTGCCAAAACTTATACATCCTGATCAAAAAGGTTTTGTAAAAGGAAGAAATATAAGCGATGCCAATAGAATTATACAAGATATTATTGATTTCGCAGATAATGAAGACTTAGAAGGAGCAATAATTTTTCTTGATCAACAAAAAGCATTTGATAGATTAGAATGGGAATGGTTAGACTCTACCTTAAAAACTTTAATTTTGGAAATAAATACTGCAACTGGATAAAAATGTTGTTAATAAATGCAAAAACCTGCATTAAAACAAATGGGTTCCTCTCCAAATACTTTACAATATCAAGATCAGCTAGACAAGGGTGTCCTATAGCTCCCTTGCTATATGTATTACAAATAGAACCTTTGGCTTGCGCCATACGCCAAAATCCCAACATTAAAGGTATACATATTCCTAATAATAATCAGCATATTGAATGCAAAATCAATATGTTTGCTGATGATACCCAGTTGTTCAATAAAGACGAAGAATCTATAGAAGAATCCTTTAAAATTTTAGAAATATATGAAAAAGCATCAGGCGCAAAAATAAATTTTGCTAAAACAAAGGGCTTATATATTGGAAAATCAAGGGGTAAAAAACCTAAATTCAATAAAATTCAGTGGACCACAACGCATGTTAAAACTTTAGGTGTGAACCACGGATACGATATTGATATTGAAGCTATATGGATGGAAAAAATAGAAAGAATAACCAATTGCCTTCATGTTTGGAAAACTAGAAATTTGACATTTAAAGGAAAAACATTAATAATTAAAAATCTTGTAATTCCTATCATTGGTTATGAAATTGAAATGAGAGGCATACCAAATATTTACAGTAAAAAAATTAATGACATTATCTGGTCTTATATTTGGGATCAGAAAATAAACAAAGTAGATAGAAACGTTTGTTGCCTTAGTAAAGCTGAGGGGGGATTAGATATGATAAATTTATTTACATTTATTAAAAGTAAACAAATTAAAACAATATACAAAATAATGCACTCTGAACTTGAAAACTGGAATGCTATAGGAAAGCTCTGGCTAAAAAGTAAAGATATTCATCCAAAACAGGAATATTTTATTTGCAATTGCTCTGATCTTATGAACATATCTCTTAATAAACTACCCACATTTTATAAAAATGCATTATTGGCATACAGTGAATTTAGATCACACTTTCCACCAGAAAGCAAAGATGAAGTTTTGAAATGTCAGATTTTTGGAAATAAAGATATACAATTTCGAGGCAAAAGCCTATATATAGATAGAGAATATTACATACTAAAATCCATATCATATGTCATATCAGCCCGAGTGGCCCCATATCAGCCCGAGGGCCGAAGGCCCGAGGGCTGATATGGGGCCCGAGGGCTGATGTGACATATGATATGGATTTTAGTATGTAGTATTCTATTTATCATATATTTAAAATACTTAATATGCGAGTTCACATATGGTCGTTGAAGAGTGTTTGTGCTTGTCAGTGACATTTTTCTTTAAAATTTAATAGAGCCAATTTTAGGTAACTGGAAAAAAATTAAGACCACAAATGTCATTAAAGAATTATTTTATATGAATATTTAAATAAAATCAAGTAAATTAACTTTTAAACTTAATACAAACGTTACTTCCGGTTTGATATGGATTTTCGGCCCGCCGGTCCGATACGTGATATGGCTTTTCGGACCGGTCCGTGATATGGGGTATTGTGACGTCACCCGTATCACACCGTGCAGAATCGGTGTATTTACTACTAAGTATATGATAAAGTCTTTTATTAAATGTGGTCTACAAACTATTGGAGATATTTGGGATAATGATACTAAGACTTTTAAGACTAATGCGTACATATTTTCAAAACTTCTTGATAAAAGAAGTTGGATTTTTGAATACAGTAAAATAAAAACCGCTATACCTAAAACCTATCTTGACATTCTAGAAGGGAGCAATACTGTAAATAGAATAGATAATGAAAAAAATAATTTTTTTGTGATGTGTGATAATTTTTTATTTGTAAGAAAAACAAACAAGTTCATAAATTTTGAAGATATAAAACTCAAAGATATACAAAGAGTATTAAACAAAAATATCACTCCAAAATCCCAACAAAAAATGGGAGAAACTGATGCAAATTGAAATTACATGGAAAAAGATTTGGGGCTCAATTTATGAAGTTTGGTTAAAACAAAAGATTCAAGAATTTCAATGGAAATGTTTGCATAACATTTTATACACTGAAGAAAAATTAAGCAAAATGGGTTTTTCAAATGGTAAATGTTTTTTCTGTAAATCAAATATTGAGAGTCAGAAACATCTATTTTATGAATGTAAACATGTCAAACCACTTTTAGAATTGGTACAAAATATAATGTTAAAAATCTCTGTAGTAAATTCAGTCAAAGTTGATGTATGTATTGTTTTATTGGGATTCGCAGGAGAACCCAAAAATGTTCGAATATGTATTAACACCTTGATTTATATATACAAGTGGTCAATATGGAAAACAAGAAACAGCATTAAGTATGAAAATAAAAGTATTACAAATTCATCACTCTTGAGTGACTTCAAGAAAGAAATGAAATCAATCCTTCAACTCCTAAGAAATAATAAGAGTAACTTCAACAGAAATTTAAAATTAACATTAGATATGCTTACAGACTTTGATTAACTGTTACCTGTTTTCCTAAGTACAGATTTGTATAATAATACAATGATGTTTTCATAGTTATATATTTACCTTTTATTGTCATATTTTCACCAAAACTGATTCCATATTTATATATACGTAAATTATTTGATTTGTAATATGTATTAGATGCAAAATTATGTGTGACTTTGAATTTAAATAATAAAGCACCCTGCGTGGTGCTATAGGGATTATTATTATGTATTGTTATAGAGGGAGCTTAGTCAGGGCCCCATCCCTGGCAGCTGCCCAACTTATCAGCTGTTTATTGTTATAGGTCTGGGAAATAAATGAGAAAAAAAAAAGAAAAAAAAAAGTCTATATAACAAGCCTCCATTTTCTTTTTTTTTCATAGGGGTCAGTTTTGCTTGTCCCTCACCAAGTAATGTCCTAGCTGATGTCATACATAAAACTGTGTTTTGTACCCTCAAGCATTATATATTCTGTAAGACATTTTGTCCCTGCATTGGAGTCATAACACCTTCCCCTGGGGTCATAAAATATAAAATTTAAGTAGATAGCATTATGATCTTTCTAAATATGTAGCCAGTTTTTATTCAGTGTTTTATAAACACTATAAACATTGACATTATATGACCATTTTAATCACTAAAATTACTTCTCACTAAAAATAACAGGACTAGTCTATGGGCCACACTTCACTTCAGTATTGATTGTTTATTGTTTAACGTCTCTCTCGAGAATTTTTCACTCATATAAAGTTGCCACTGCTTACTGGTGGAGAGCTGCAAATTTTGTTCTATACTCGGCACTCAGGGCCATTGAGCAAGGAGGGATCTTTTTCGCGCCAGCACCTACTGCGACAAGGGACCCCAGTTTATGGGGTCTCATCTGAAGGACCAGTCTCCATGTTCCACAGTGGGATTCGGACCCGCGACGTAAAGAACAACTCCTTACTTAGTGACTCTACAGCAGACGCTCTAACCACTTCACCATGCGGACGAGACTGAAAAGAAGGGCTTGAATTTTAAGCTACCTGAGAATGCGTCCATATCAATAACAATGGCTTTGCTGTTCTTGAACAGAAGATTTTTTCCTATTTATTCCTTTGTAAACATTTCATCCCTATTGTTGCCCCTCCCTACCCCCTGGAATCATGATTTAAACAAATTTGAATCTAAAATTTCCTAAAGATGCTAATATAAAATAGATATAAGCTATAAAAACTATGATCGTTTATTGTGGATCAGTCCTACCAATTTTTAAGGAGAAATCGCTCTCACTAAAATTTCCACTTGTACAATAATTCAGTGTTTTTTTTTTTCCAGTACTTTGGGACTGGGGGTTGGGGCCCTCAGAATTAGGAGTTTCAGCGACAATAAGGCTAAATTGGGAATCTCCCAGAAAACCCAGTCACTTAAAAAAGCATTGAGAAAAAGCTTTGTTTTTGACTTTGTATTACTTTAATAAACATTTTTTATAACAAAAACTAGACTATTTTTTGTATGAATTATCTAATAACTTGCATCAAGAACAATAGTTGTTGAATTATTTAATGAAAAAATCTGACATGGCTGAAAACAAAACCTGTTTCAACTTCACTGAGAAACATGCAATAAACACACTGAATTTTATCACATATTTTGTAGGTTTTTCTTTTTGGAAAACTTCCACTATTTTTGGGGAAAATTCAGACATATTTTCAATTGGGACTGGGCCCAAAAATTGGCCCTAAAAATCACTGAATATGCTCAGCAACTTGCATACTTACTAGCAACTGCTCTCAAATATTTCAAGTATGCTGAATACACAGAGTTTTCAAGTTGTCTGCTATTTGATCCCTCTTCAGAAAATACTGGTTTTAAAATCTGTATAACAGCCTTCAGAGTCAATGTAGTCTGAGTAGGTCTAAATAAGTGCACAAAAATAGGGAACACACTTCCAATCTGCAAGAAAATATGGAAAAATGAAGGCATACTGATAATTAATATCTAGTATAAATTCATACTGTCTGATACAAAGAACATCAACAACACTGTCAAATGCTTTTTTATCACAGCTCATGACAGCTAATAGCGAGCCCAACGAGCAAAGTGACGCCTGTCACTGCGAGCTCTTAAAGCAATACCTGTGCAAAGAGAAAATTCGACTACTGCACATTCATTCGATAGAATTTTTTGACGCAGTAATTTAGAATTAAAATGTATCACTTGTTTAACCTAGTTCTCACGAGAATAACACCAAAAGTTCAACTAAAAGTATAAACATGCCCTGATTTAATGGATATATAAATATTGAAGATAAATTAGTAAACAAAGCGTTCTTCATTTACTTTCAGCACTGTTCGGACTTCTTATTGGAAATGTAACGTACATACGACGTCATGTGATGTCAGAGTTTAGACGCACCAAATGTCACGTGCAGTTTGATGAGCCTGATCTAAATTATAACAAAACAAATATCTGTGCTCGCCATAACGGTCGTACTTCAACATATTATGAGAAATGACATACTAGGTCATGGAGCTGGACTTTTCCAGAAGAAGATACCTGTTGCTTATATATATATATATATATATATATATATATATATATATATATATATATATATATATATATATATATATATATATATATATATATATATATATATATATATATATATATATATCCTTCTATGCATCTTTTTATGTACTGAAGACATTTTTATTTCCATGAGGTCATATTTCCACACATTTAATTGTTTAGTACATGGTAATGAATTTCTGCAGCTTTGTATGTAGATAACATGCAAAGATGTTATACAGCTATAATCCGCTGGTTATAAATTTTACATGGATTTTTGTAACTGCAGACTCCATTGCATTATAAACCACATGTAAAAATAAAATGCCATGACACAGCATGAAACACCCGTCAAATATTGTTCAATTATCATAAACAGTTTAAAGTGCAAGTTATAGTTTTCTAGTCATGAGCCAAATAGAATTTTTCCATTTCCAAATCCTTGTAAATTTTCAAGATTTTAGTACATGGATCTGATTTCTTACATACTAATAAACAAATTGTAGTTGTGACATTACTTTTGGATCAACCCAAGTATATATATTTTCACTTCAAATAAATTCTTCTTGTTCCAAAAATAAGTTTTTACAGATAAGGCAAAGCCTAAAAAATTCTTTGTTTGCAGTTGCCGACCTGTAATTTTTAGACTGGGTAGGTAGGTAGGCATTCTTTTTTTTGGGGGGGGGGGGGGGTTGTTTTCAGATTTTAGACAAAAATTGACATAGACACACTTTCAATATCCTGAAAAAATTGAAGAAAAAAAATATTACAAAATGGTTTTAAAAAAAGTTTGGATCAGGTGCATTTTCAGTGGGTCGGTAGGCAACTGCAAACAAACAATATTTTATTTTAGGCTTTATTTTATACTAAGAACTAATAGAACCTTTTCATAAAGGCCATCTTTTATTTTTCTTAGAATGGCCATTAAAACAGGTTGGAGTGCAATATCTGTCATATACTCAGTATGGTCATCATACCTTGACTAATCCTAAACAGTTCAGACCCTTTCTCAAATTCTTAATGCAGTCACTGCTTCCATCTGCATCACTGAAAACATCCTCCAAGATTCCTGGGTCCATAAATTTGGGAAGTTTTCCATTCTGGAGTACACTTAAACCTATTCAGTGTTCAAATGAAGAAATAAACATGTTAATAATATGTGTAACAAACAATAGACATGATAGATGTATTCAATACAGTAATTTCAATTCTTTAACAAAGATAGATGCTAGCAATCTCCACATTGTAGAACTCTGATAACAAATACATGTATCTGATATCAAAGGTGATCAACAATGAAAAGGCATTTAAGGCAATGGAACCTCTTAAAGACGTACAACACACTGGGGGAGATAACTCTTGCGATTTCAATTGAACGTTTGACGTGACGTCAAGTTTAACGTCTAAAATAAAGCGTTAAAACGACGAGTAAAACGATCCCGATGTATATCAATCATGAAAGAAAATTGGAATAGCCCATACGAAAATGTGTAGTTGACCGTCAACTAGCCGTCAACTAACCGTCAACTAGTCGTCAACTGATAATGCGAAAACAGTTGACCACTCAGAGTTGAATGCTTTTCTGAAAAGCGATCAACTGATTTGCATAAAACGGCCAGTTGACCATTAGTTGAACGCTAATACTTTGAAATTTCATGTAGAACCAGAGCTGACCACTAGTTGAACACTCCGACTTGTTAGAAAATTTCTCCCACGCTACATTTATGTTGGGTTCAAAATTACATTATCATAGATCGGGTTTGTTATACCATAATTACAACAACCAAGATTTGAATCAGTACATGTGTGTTTTCGGAATTTTGATTTGAAACATTATTGTCTTCGTGATGATTCAGCGTGTGAAATATCTCATGTACTATTGTAAGTATATAAAATTTAAAGATTTGTTTTACTAAGCTTGTTATTTTTAAACAGATAATAGGAATACAGAAAACTGTAGCCAGTATAGGTCCCTATTTTTGTGTACTTTTTTTAAATATTAAAAGAATTCTGAAAACTTGTCATGCATCAAGTGTTTTGTTGTGTTATTTGTGTAGGTAAAAATATTGCTTTAGACTAATTCTATATATAACCGTTTCTGCACTGAAAATGAAGAAGTCATGTAACAACTTATGAGAGTGTGCGAGCTCAATTTATTTATAATGCATTTAGATTTACAAGTACATTTATATCAATTTAGAAACTCCATTTTTTTTAACTTTTCATATTTTCAAGAATACTGCTTGTCTTATTGAGTTTAATGCCCTGTTCACACGACAAGTTTAAATCGCAGTAAATTAATGCGAAGTAAACTAATGCGAATCAAACTAATGCGAATTAAATTGCGTTCACACGACAGTCAGGCGTGAGGAAGGCTATTATGACGTCATTTGCAAATCACGTCACCTTATGCAGATGCATTTGACATAATGTCACAGTGTCTGGAGATATATTTTAGTGATTAACACATTTTTTCCTAGTTTTTCACTCAAAAATAGCACAAGTACTTATAGCCGACCACCGATATGACGCATTTGACTTAATTTTGCCATTGCGCATGCCCCAAAATTTAATTCGAATTAGCTTCGCTTAGCATTCACACGGAGCTAATGCGAAGTAATTTAATGCGCAGTAAACTAATGCGAAGTAAACTAATTCGCATTAAATTCTCCGTGTGAACGCTAAGCGAAGCTAATTCGCAGTAAACTTACGTTTAATTCAAATTAAACTCTCCGTGTGAACAGGGCATAATTTGATTAATGCGAATTAGTTTAATTCGAATTAATTTACTGCGCATTAAATTACTTCGCATTAGCTCCATGTGAACGTTAAGCGAAGCTAATTCGAATTAAATTTTGAGGCATGCGTAAGGCCAGAATTATGTCATAGGACATGCGTTGGTGGTTATATATGGATATTTGTGCTATATTTGATTAAAAAATTGATGGAAAGTATGTTAACCACTAAAATCAATGAATACCTGTAACCACTACATGATGTATCAAAAGATGGCTCTGCATACATGACGTGATTTACAAATGACGTCATAATAACTTGCTGACTCCTGACTGTAGATGGAAAATTTTAATTTGCATTAGTTTACTTCGCAATTATTTGTCGTGTGAACGCAATTTAATTCACACTAATTTGATTCGCATTAGTTAACTTCGCATTAATTTACTGCGAATTATACTCGTCGTGTGAACAGGACATACGATTTCAAATCTCCCTCCATTTTTTTTCAAATATCTAATGCATGCGACCTATGTGCACTGACTAGCGGTCAACTGCAAAAGAAATAGTGGAGTATTCAACTAGCGGTCAACTGCAAAGGAAATAGAGGAGTAATCAACTAGCGGTCAACTGTAAAGGAAATAGAGGAGTATTCAACTAGCGGTCAACTGCAAAGGAAATAGAGGAGTATTCAACTAGCGGTCAACTGCATAGAATATATAGGAGCATTCAACAGTGGTCCACTCTATGCAAATGAGTTGATCGCTCCCTCATTTGCATGGCAAAAATTCAATTAATGGTCAATTGACGGTCAGCTGACCGTCAACTAGTAGTCAACTGAATACTCCGATTGAATTCCAATAGTATTTTTTCATATGGGAGGGGCTTGGGTGTGATTGTGCGTACCAGACTCAATCAATAATTATTATTTTTTAATTAACCCGATTAAACTCCGTAAAATTAATAGTTTAATACCATTTTTTAATGTTCATTTCATTTCATATACAATAAATTGATTTATGATCAAAGCGCAGAATTTTTTTTTTATTCTGAAAATTTTATTTTACAATGCCAAAATTTTCATTATGTACATGGGTTATATAACATTCCGATTAATGGTCTTCATTACAATTTGTGTATACACGATATAAAAATTGTTTTTCTTCTTTAATTAAATAAAACAACAATAAATAAACAATACACTTTTTACAATGTAAAATCGATGTTGTTCTCAGACCCTTACTGATCAAAGAGGAATAACTCTAAAAATGTAGGAGATGTTCATTTTCCTCCCTTTATTCACGGTTTTCCACAGAATCAGATACATTTACAGTTAGACCTGATAAATCCGAGAATTGAATACTCTAGACCTTATATACACAATGTAAGTATAAAATTGAAAAGAATTGTTAACTTGCACTGAAATTATCTACATTTATGAATATCCTATTACAGCAAATCGTAACTTTGACTTTCTGTCAACAATGTCGGTTCGCATTTCCTCGAATCAAAACAAAACGTAGCCTATAAGATTTTAAAAAAATATCAATGTGGGATTTGATATAAATTGAAATAAATGAAGTTTAATGTTTGATATTTTGAAGTTGATGTGGACAAATACGGAATTTTCATTTTAACTTTAGAAGCAACGACATTGAAAGAAATGCGTACAATATCATGAGGGGTGTGTGTACATCTAATGCAAATGTCGATGTATCCACAGGGCCACATACTGTCTCGTTTGAAATAATGACATGAAAGAAACTACAATTATTGCATTTATATCACAGGAGAGTTCCACGAACACCATGTTTAGAATGAATAAAATTGAAGAAATAAAATTAAAAATCAACATTCAAGTTCAACAAAACTTGAATTCGTATCCAGATTTCATGTGATATGGAATGCATAACTCATAGTATATGGACTAAACACTAAAATCTTTCAGTAATTTTTTCCTCATACACTGCACATATAAAATGAGTAGTCAATATTTATTCTGCATTCATGAATTTAAAAATTACATCCGGGATTCTTGACGAAACACCAGTATATTTGCACTGTAAACGACGTTTCGTCAAACGCCAATGGTCTGCGACGCAAAAAAGGAAGGGGTGGGGGTGAACGTGGTATTCAAAAACTGCCTAAAAATCTACAATTAAATACGCTTTACGTATGAGAACTTTTAAATTTGTAAGTTAATATATTTTTGCAGCAAAAGCAATATTCCAATTTAATTTTTTTATTGTGTATTTGTAGATTCATATAACAAAGTGATCGACCCCCGTCTGAAATACGCGCGGAAACGTGATTTATTGAGAAAGGGGGAGGGGGTAATTTTCCGCTATTAAATCAAAACTGGTCGTACAAAAATTATACAAAAAATGAAGATTATTTTTACTACCAGCTACCTAAAGAAAGTTTTTTACGAAAATTAAACGACAGGTTTTTTTACAAAAAAATTTTGAATTTGAAAAGTACCCAATTTTCAAGGCTTAGAAAATTCATAGTTTTTCAGTTGAAGGTCTTTAAAAATTGTTTTGATGATATGTATATCAAAAAGATGACAATGTTATTGTGTAAAATGGTCAAAGGAATAAGCCAATTAAATTTGACATTTATATCTAACCTGGTTTTATTGAAAATCAAGGTTTAAGTAGTTCATTGATTAAAAATTTTCTCTCCTTGTAAACTACTAAAGGGGGGTAACTTTCGGAAGTTCCTGTCCAAAAACCACTCGAACGATTTTGTCCAAAATATGCATGCATGCAGTAGATATAGTCGTGTACTAAATATACAAAAATAACGAAAATTAAACGACAGGAATTTTTTTGGGTAGGTGTGTTGTACATCCTTAATAAAGATCCATATTGGGAATAAAAGCACAGTCAGTATATTCACTATATTACTCTTTATCTTAGACTGTTTTGTGAGAATTTTAAAAGATTTGATTGAAACATGACACTTACTCATAATTTTCCCTACTGTCACATAATCCTTAGCAAGGTGTTCACGAAGCCCACTGTCAAAGTACTTCCTTTTTATCTCTGATAATACAAGTTGAAAAAATTCCTTCCTTGGACCACCAAGATCTTCAGCAGTCTGTCAATTATACAATGAATGGAGTTTGTTTCTCTCCAAGAACAATTTGTAAATTTAAACCAAGACAATTATTCATTTGAAACCAAAAACTCTGGTGTAACATAACAGGATTCACAAAAATAAATTCATAGAAAATTACAAAATTAGGATACTCAGAAGTGTTTATTAATATAAATTGCTATGATTATGCCCCGATAAACAAAGTTTCGGAGGTATATATTTTTTGTTGTGTCCGCCCTTCTGTCCGTCTGTCTGCTAAAACTTTAATCTTGTCCATAACTTTTGCATGGGTGGGGATATGCGTTTCATATTTCACAGGTGTATTCCTTGTGACAAGACCTTTCTTAAGGTACCACCAAATTTGACCTCTTTACCTTGACCCTGGAGTTTGACCCACTTTACAAAAACTTTAACCTCGGCCTAAATTTTTGAACAGTTAAAACTAGGGATTTCATATATCACAGGGGTATTTCTTGTGACAAGACCTTCCTTCCAGTATGAAAAACTGTGACCTTGACCTTTGGAGTTTGTGTGCATTTTAGAAAAATTAACCTTGGCCATATGATAAGCTGCCATATGAGGGCATCAGTGTTTCACAAATACATCTCGTTATTGATATACATTGTATTTGAATGATAAACATATTTCATTAAATGAACATCATAAAACTGCACTTCAAGCGTCATTCTAAGGTCTGCAATGGAATCAATTTCATCAAAAGCAGTCTCAAGAATGTTGTTTCGATCAACAATTATGAAGTTTGTTGCACCTTCAAGACTTTGTGATGTATCTACTATTTCAAGTTTTCGTCCCGTAACAATCACACTTTGTAAATATCGAAGCATTTCAACAGGATCTTGAATGTTATGACTTAAGCAATATTCTATTGCTGTTGCAATAACTGCGTCAATAGTCTGATCTTCTTGCCTCTTTTCCTCCGCATCCGCACATACAGTCGCTTCAACAGATGTGATGCAACTTGCGGCAGAGGTAACATCCAAGGGATTTGTTGTACTTTGCTGTAATGCCGACAAGGCTTGTAAGGGTCTGCTACTAACATTTTGAGACTGGTCATCAAGTGCTGCAGGAAGATTAGACTCATCATCTTTCATAATTGGAGTAGACGAATCTCTATCAATGCTTGGTACAATACACGCTGTAGACATTTGAGGCTGAGTCTCATTCTCAGAAATGAAAACAAATGGGCCCGGGGGATTAAAATACAAAACTGTATTATTCAAATTCACTTCCTGGTCTGTGGTTTGAAGTGGTATGAAACTTTGAGTTGGATTTATAACAGGCAACTGCCCTTGGCAACCAATTTCTGGGTCAGGTAGATCATCACTATCTAGATCTTGTACCGGTAATTCTTTTTCACATATGCTTTTTCCACTCGCACAAGTCTGAATGTGTGCTCTTAACTCACGAACTGAAAACAGACAATGACAGGCTTTGCAGCTTACTTTTGCATCAGTTAATATTTCTCCCTGATCTTTTGGTGTTGTATCTAGGCTAGTTTGAATAGGACGAATGTAAATTTTAGCTTGATTGCCAATGTATGATCTTAAAGATCTGACGTTCCATTGACAGTTAACCAATGTCAGCTCCCGACAATTTTGTTTACAGTTCAGCAGTTCGAACCCTCCAGAATTTTGTAACTGCGGAAATCCAGTGGTCTCCCCATTTCTCATGTTGATATTATCCGATTGTAGTGTTAAAAGAACATCTTCTTCTTCATCATTCAAGTTTAACTGAATTTTTTTAGCCCCCAACCCAGCCTTCATAAGAACAGTTTTTTCTTCTACTGATGGAATTTTTTTAGCATTTGTATCTGCCAAACACACCACAGTGACTGTCCATGTTCTGGTTCCACGTGTGCGTGGGATTTTAGACGAGTCCAAAGCATCTACAGAATTAGATACACTGCCCGTGCGTCTCTTCTGACCTCGGCCATTTCTGTTTCTATTAAACAACGTATAACGCTGTTGAATTATTTGATTTACAAGATTTTCATTGCGGTCAACTGGTTTACATGCATTTCTCTTTTTTATCTCTAATCTTACCCTTTCTGTCAACCGGAACCTGTCTCCTATTGTCTTTACCGCTAATCGGATTAATTGCTGTTCTGTAAGATTTAAAAAATTGTCTAAGTCAATTCTTTCCGATTTGAATTTTTCAATGGTGTCATTTTAGTCAAGTTCAGCCAAAACATCCTCCAAGTCCAACTTCACTAACGTTGCAGTTGCCGCCATTTTTGTGTTTGTAAATTTATGTAAACTCCAAAACGAGAAATCCGGATTCGAATAAACCGACAGATTATTTATATAGGCCTACTAATACACCCACAGCATATAATAATGAAACCACAGCATATAATTATGAACCCACAGCATATAATTATGAACCCACAGCATATAATAATGAAACCACAGCATATAATTATAAACCCACAGCATATAATAATGAAACCACAGCATATAATTATAAACCCACAGCATATAATTATGAAACCACAGCATATGATAATAAACCCACAGCATATAATTATGAACCCACAGCATATAATAATGAAACCACAGCATATAATTATGAACCCACAGCATATAATTATGAACCCACAGCATATAATTACAGAACCACAGCATATAATTATAGAACCACAGCATATAATTACAGAACCACAGCATATAATTATAAAACCACAGCATAAAATTATAGATCCACAGCATATAATAATAGACCCACAGCATATAATTACAAACCCACAGCATATAATTATAGACCCACAGCATATAATAATAGACCCACAGCATATAATTATAGAACCACAGCATATAATAAAATCACCTAACATAAGGCAGCCATGGCGTTCCATACATTTATGCATATGTGGTATTCATTATAAGACGCTTAAGGTTCCGTCCATTGTTACTATTATAACTGATCATGAGCATTCATTTTATCCTTGGGTAGAATAATAACACAAACTACAATTATCAAAGACAGTAATGTCTTATGGAATATCCTACCCAAACATCCATAATATACATTGCCTTACATAAGCCCTATGCTTGTATTTGCAACATTGCTTATGAATATTTTCAGAATTAAAAACACATTAAAAGTTTATTGTTTATTGTATGGCAGATTTTGGCCACAGTGGTCAGATAAATATATTTTAACAATCAACAACAACTTTGGGGCCGCCAGACAAAACGGCTCACCCCCTACAACAACATTTTATGTGTTGTCCGAAACGGCAACTAGCATGCTGGGTTGGCTTCACAATCATGCTACCGACACATCAACATCAACATATTTTTTACCTTAAATTATTTAAATTGTTTATTTATATTATGAAAATATAATCAAATCAACGTAACAACAGTCAACATCATATTTCACAACCAACTTGAAGGTGACGATATGGCCACATGGGCACCTGATGAATGTGTGCATATGCAGACATACATTCAGGTTGCCCACCGCCACATGGTGGGGGTAGGAACCTTCAAGCTGACCACTGTGACTCTGCCAAAAGGAATACCCAATTCTATGAACTATAAATATGCTTTGTTATTATTTACAAGGAAATTTTTGCTTTCACCCCATCTGAGAAAACACACCCAAGGACCCCTGAATGATGATGATGGAAATTTGATTTCCTAACGTTGACAAGTGTGATTCATCTGAGTGATACAATATTGTAATTATTCACCTATAAATTGGGGACGCATGATAATCCCCCCTTCCGATTTGAAGTACCCGTTTTGTTTCCTATAAGTTTAGCCTATTCTTTGCCTGCTTCATTGCCCTAACATTTCTTGAGTATCTCAATGAAATTCAGGGAAGGAGAAAAACCAAATACTAGTAATTATAGTATTGATGAAGATACTAGTGAGTAACTAGATATCCCACTTATTTCTATACCATAGTCATGTGCTTCATTTGACCCACATCATTAACCCCATCGTGTGTGAGTAATTATGTTGGAGGATCCTCCAACCTTCTTTACTAGTTCAATGAATTAACTCCCGTACCCTTGCCATCAGAATCTATATCCCTCTTTGTTTTAGCCCAAGGCCCCACCCCTGGTGTAACACACATTGCTATTGATGACCTTCCCTGTTTATATATAATTGATGAACAGAGCCAGAAATCCATACTATAAATTAACCTGGTTTGGGGAACCCTGTAACAATTATAATCAAATGCATGATAGCTAGTACAATTGACTGTGATAACTTATGATAAATGCAGCCTCTATTCTGGAAGAATAAAAAAAAATAATACTGACTCGCTATCAAAAATAATACTGGCTCGCTAGACCAATATCTATAATGACTTTACCTTTAATTGCTGAGAGGTGAAATTCCTCCAAAATGACAAAGGAAGGGTCTTTGGTCTTACTTTTAAAATTTAATGATTGCCTGCATTAGGTAATTGAACCATGGTTATTTATCAGAACTTATACCCCCCCCTTCCCAAAATGAAAAGTTTTAGAGCACCTTAAAAAAACAATTGACTTATTTGTGGGTTAACATAACTAATACTTAAAATGCCCTGAAAGTTGTTGCCCCTATATATACTTTTTTTTCCTCTCTAATTGTTTATTGTATATTAATGCCGTCAATAATTTTTCTTGCACTACTCCCATTTACCCCCCCCCCCCCATCCAACCCCCTCTTTTTTGTTTATTAACAACTTGATATGATTTTAAATTAGCAACTTAGTATTAACCTTAGATTTGATATCCCTGAAACCCTCCAATACTTTTAAAAAACTAAGAATTGGATTAATAGCCGAAACTGTCCCGTGGACATGCACTGTAAAATGCGGATGATGAATTCAAGACGTACATCTGTATGTTTTGCTTTTAATATGATGTTATAATGCACGTGAGTCAAATTAGTTTCCCAATCGAAATTAATTTTGGAGACCTTAAACATGAGTGTACAGAATGCTTACTAATGCGATGTTATCTGTATGAATTAGACCCCCCACCCCCCCCCCACCCCCAATCGTGACTGACAACAATATGGCAGTTAACTCTTGAAATGTTTTATGCTTAATGATGACCTGATCGTACTAATCTTGATAGTCTTTGGAAAGAAAATGTCTTGAGCTTCTTACTATAAATGATTCCATTCTCTCATCTCAACCATTGACCTTTCAATTAGTTTACAAAGCAGATCCCCGAGTTTCTTTATCTTGTTTCTAGCTATCCTACAACTTTAAGCACCGTGTCACTTCTCCAGGTCTATGAATACTAAATTTGTCCTTGTACGTACAGTGTATTTGATCTTAATGCGGAGAGAAACTCGAAAATCATTGCACACATCATGACATGCTGGAATAACGTCAGTATACGCATGCTCCCCTCCTACCCGCAAGATAAAATCGACAAAGTACGGCTCAACAATACTAAAATCTCATTTATTTATTATAATCCTCTGTAATATCATTAATGTTTGAAATTTTTCAAAAATTGAAAGCTAAATGGGACATCCAGTGGGTAAGCACTTGTCAACACAGTATTGATCCTTAAATCTAAATCCTTACTTCAGTCCTCAGGGTATATTGGTAGTAACTAATTTTATAAAATGCACTTTTAATATCAACATTCTCTAATTGTACTTACTGAGTTAACACATCTGGTTCATGATTTGGAAATGTCCTAGAAGCCAAAAGCAAATTTTCAACTAAAACAAAGATTATCGGACCTGCATTATTTAACCCATGTAAGAATCCCTGTACATGCACTGTTTTATTAATTTGCTTCAGAGATAGGTCCACTAAACATGGCATGATCTAGACCCCACTTAAATTTATACACATTTCCATGAATGAGTGCATGGTCTCCTAAAATAAACCCCCTCAAAATTAAATGCATGCCCAGAATTCCTGTATTAGTGATCTACTTCAACCCAAACCATATACATGTCAGACCCCCCAATTCTGTATACATGTATATCTATATGGCTGAACTAAATTTGCAGAAGTCACCATAAAAGTTTAGAATTACCTAAAGGACCTACCGGCCCCAGCAAGTTAGGCTTGCATGTATTTTAGTAACTGATGATTAAATGTATGAAAAGGGGGGGAGGGGGGGGGTTATAGGCATCCTTCCATTTTTTTTTGTTGTGATTTTTAGACGGTGTACTGTTACTTACCACTTGGTGTACTGTTACTTACCACTAGAGTTTACTGTTGGTCAAGGCTTCAAAACAGAAGCCCTGCCTAGAACACATGAATCAAACCTTTGCGAAATTAAAGAGTGCATAAATTGTTCTGATCAAAATACAAACATTCTGAATCAATAAAACTGAAGAAAGTGATATGGCAAACAAACAACTGTTCTATAGCATTGCATTGTTTACTTCCTAGAAAGTGTCAATTAATTCATTTCTTTACTCCGAATGAAATGAAAAACTTAGTGTCAGAAAAAAAAATCTATCATATAAAAGTTGAATTTGACCCCCTACTGTCTCAGTACTTTAATTTTATTTTTTAGTGTTCAATCTTTAGAATAGCTTAGCATTTGGCGATCATTACCCAATATAGAAAAATCGCTCACTGGCTGAGTCTTAACGTTAGATATTTGATTTATTTTAGTATTTATTGCTCAACCAATCAATATATTTCCCTTCAACGATTTTTCAACTGAATATCTTGTTTACATAGTGACCCAATGTTAATTGAATTTAGTGGTGTCCCGTCCTATGACATATTTTACTTTTACCTGTTGACTGGTTGGAATTTTAGGTCCCCATACCGGCGCCTATTTCCGGTTTCCTTCCGTCGCAGATCGATTCCTTCCCCGGAGCAAACCTCGGACTGTGCCTCTCTTCCGACATGTCTTTTTAAATATTCTCTCACTCCATCAGTGACATGCTTATATAGTTTGTTTAAAAGTTAAGTTTGAAATTTCGAGATAAGGTATAAATACACCACTGAATGAGTATACGTGAACCTTTAGAGCATGTTGTACTTTGTCACTAAATAATCTCCGAAAATCCAAAAAATTATGAAGCCATCGAAAGCGTTCCAGGTTTCAGATGTATTCTAAAGCGTTTCATATTACTGATTATTTAAACAAACTTACACTTTGTCCTTTACTTAACCATTATTTTTAACAATTTTAGCTCTGAATTTCTAAACCGTCTGCTGGTTATCGGCATGGATAGAAAAGGGAAGTGTGGGTATTGTAAGTTCAGAGTGCAAAACGGTTTGTTTAAAAAAATCCGGACAA